TACTTAAAGTTTCCTGGACCCGCCCAAGTATGGAATTATTTGGTTTCTATCAGCCTCTAATAGTGCAGCCTTAAGATCCCCAATAAGACCTACCCATCTTTCCCATCCCATGTACAAAATATTTTCTTATTCCCTTAATCATGTATCCGAAATAAAAAATAAAAAAATAAAAAAAATTAAAAAAAAAATGTATCCGCCTTCTCTCTTCCACAAGTCATCCTCTTAGTCACACATCTACTTTTCCTCTCTGCTAGTCTTCCCTGATGGACAGCTTCAAGTCTAGAATAGGACTAATAGCTGAACCCATGAAAAGTAGAAGCAACTAACAAAAATCATTACTTCTAATGCATCATTAATATCATTTTGTCATTTTTAATCTCTTCTTTCCCATTCCGCAAATAACAACAATTAACAGTGTTAATATTTTCTTTTTGTTGCATTTCAGTGTATTTAGTCAATTTTTCAAAAACTCAATGCGTTAATATCCTTTTGAAAAATCATTTTCATCAAGACACAGACAAATTAGCTTCAATTGGTCTAAACGTTCAATTCAGTTTTTTCATGTTGTTGTCATAGTAAAATAACATTGATTGTGAGGAATCAATTTGGTTTATGCTAGAAAATGGGTGTAATTTTGTGATAAAATAACTAATCGGCAAACATAAACAACAAAGAGAAGATCTTCGCATGATGTTTAATGATCTTGAAAAGGCATAATCAAGTACTATAATGATCATTATTTTTGGTATAATTAAGGATAAAAAGTACGTATCAAGGTATGCTTGAGGATAAGCATTAGAAGTTATTCGGTGCCAAGGAGAGCCCATTCATACCAACGTTATATCAAAAAAGTTCTCTTTTTTTAATATTGGTTTTTTTACATGCTTACAAAGAATATTCAAAGATAAAAGGCTTAGGATTATAGGAACAAATGTTGGGCATATGAAATTATTTTCATGGGAGTAATATTATAGATTAATAATCAATATAACTAATTAAAGTGAAACTTGATTTTTCAAGCTATCTTTAAACCCAACTTGAGAAGCATAAGCACTAATAATATTCATAATATCACCACTAATAATTAATTTGATAGCAATAACCCAATCACTAATGTCTATCACCTTAATAATTTTATCTTTCAACTCTTTATCCACTATTATGCCAACTAAATTTATATTGTAAACATTTCTGCAATGCAATAATTTATAAACTTCCCCAATGCCCGTGGATTTTTTCAAATCAATTTAGTTTCTAGCAAAAAAGTAATATTTAATTTCCTTGAAATCATTGACTCCATCACTTATCTTGTATTTGCCCATGCAAGCCCCCAAATAGAAAATCTAAACTTACGTTTGTGCCTAATTAATCCTTGTTCAATTTGCACAACAATCAAGTTAAATTGTGATGTGTCACTATATGACATCCTAGCCAACACTAGCCTACTTTTCATCATAATTGAATTATAATGTGTTGCAAAACTTATGGAAAATTTTCTAGCTAACCCTTGCCAACTCACCATAATAAACTAGGTCGTAGTGTGTTGCTTCTAAGAAATGCCCTAGCACCATTAAAATTCATATCTTAATTCATTTTATGAATTCTGGTAAAAAATATTCTAAAACTCAATTTGTTTTGACAAAAAGTTTCTCATGCTAAGTTCATAATTACAAAGCCAAATATACCTGCATGTGAGAGTCATGTTAGAATATTACATTAATTCTTGGGTCGTAACTTATAGGCTCAAGGTTTGCTAGGTTCGGGCTTAAGAATCTTGCAACTCCCTTAAGTCTAACAAAAATTTTGTGGGCCACTCACCTAAATTTCAAAGGTAATTCTGATTTTACCTGCTTAGGATGCTTTTCCTACTTAAGAGGTTTAACTAGATTAAACTAACCAAGTTGTCACCGACTACCAGCAAGGTTGTCGCTGACATGATCCGCCACATCTTGTTGCAACTGATGAGAATGAATTGCTAGTAGTGACACTTCTTGGTTCATGCCAGTTTGCATAAATTCATGCTATTCAATGCTATAAAACAAAGGTTAAACATAAAACTATTAATATCTAATTTTTTAACTTATGTTCCCTTATCATTTTAAGCAAACAACTGGCATATATATATATATAAGGGTTGTCTCATTTAGCTTATTCTTAGTTAACAAGCTAAAGCCAAAGTGGAAACCAAGCCGGCCCCTTAAACTTTAGATTACTATATTGTTATCATTTAACAGGAACAATTGCTCATGAGTTTAGTGTAAAATTGATAGGATCATCAACTCAAACATAACTGCAAAAACATATAAGTCAATAAGAACCTTAGGGAATTATCAGGCACCATTTAATCCAAGTTTTGTTTAATGCTTATCCCACACCTTGGCATGTATTTATGGCTGCGGTCAAGAAGATTGATTGTGTATGTGATGTAATAAGCTGAGAGATACTTTTCATGGTGCAGATCATAGGATAGCTTAACTATTAGAGAAAGACAAGAAGTGCGAGAGTAGAGAAAGATAAATATGGGATTGGGGTTCAAAAAGCCTTGGCTTCTTACATGTCTATTAACTCAATAAAAAGATTACAAGGGAACACCTAGATCTTTGTGTTTAAACTTCTCCCTCATTCCCTTGTATGGGGAATTTATAGAGGATTTTGGATTATTCTGGCCTAGTAATAGGGTTCATCAGTCATGTGAGGAATTCAGATGATTCTAGTGTTGTAACATTTCTTTTGTCATGATCCATTTCTTATGTGGACTCCAAATTAGAAGAAGGCCATGTGACACCTAAGTAATGGGCCACAATAGAGATACCAGACATGTGTTGGCGCCTTGAGAGGTGGTTGGGAATAGCAACAATCACAAGATTATTTCCTACACATCCTAAAGCAAAAATGTCGTGATACAACATGCCTTTCAATGAGACGTCTATATTGTTCCCAAACCTTGATTCTTGGATATGTAAGTGGGATGGAACTACAATAGATGCCAGATGCTAGAAAAGGTTTCCAAATGGTGTCTTAATTCTACATATATCTTATCTTGTTAACTAAGGCTTATCGGGTATTAAACATCTCGAGCCTCCATCTATTATTTCCTCGTCCTCCTTGGGTCATCTACATCAGAGAACATTTGGTATGTGTATTTGAGCTATCTTTAACTGCAATTCGCTAACAATCCTCAAGAGTTTGAGGTGCAGTTCAACTTTGCCTTTAACTTATACTCAATTGTCATCTGAATGGCGCCGATTCCATCTCAAGAGAGCCAAAACCATGGCCCACAGTTTCCTTGTCTTGCTCTTCCCCTGCAACATCCAGCTCTCCTCCGCTATGCCAATATTTCAACCGTATATCGCGACTGCCTTAGAATTAACATCTAATAAAATAAATATAAACATAATTAATAAACGGAAAAAGAAATCAACTTTATGGCTAATCCCGAAGTCAAAATTAGCACAAGCAAGCACATAATCTCAAAACTGAGTTGAACCTCGATCGCAAAAACAGGTTCAAGTTAATGAGAAAAGAAAAAGAAGAACAGAAAAAACCATGAAACGTACCGGTATGTAACGGAACTTCCTCCGGGGAGCCTCCTCAGACGCGGATGGTGGCGTCGCATCGGCGGAAGCGGCATCCTTACTAGAAGCGATCGGAGTCCATTTGAAAAGGAGGAGATGAGAGTGATTGTTGTTGTTGGAATTTGAGTTGTTAGGGTTTGAGAGCGGAACCCATTTCTTCTTCCACCTCCGCACGGGGCCGCTGAACACCGTAGTTGGGGCGTACCGGGCTGATGAACGGCCCAAACGGGCCCCAACGCCCTCCATCCTCTCTATCTCCTTGCACAGATAGAAAGAGAGATGCGGGTGAATGGAAGGATGTTGGAATTCTTTATGCGAGCTGAGAGTGTGAAACGTAGGAAGAAGAAAAACTCTTCCGTTTTTTTTTCCCTTCCACGGACAAATCAATTTTATTTTGATTTTAGTAAAAAAAAAAAAAAATTAGTTCCAGATAATTAAAATATATAGTTTCAATTCATGATTAAAAAAATTTGATAAAAAGCAACCAATACTTTTTATTGTTTTAGAATATTTATCTATAAAATTAATCAAATATCTTATATTTATATTTTTAACAAGTTATGCCAAAAAAATTTTTTTGGATAAAATTATCTGATGTTGTATAAAATGAGTCAAGTGAATCTCTAAAAAGTGAGCTTTGTAAACTTTTCTTTCAAGCATCTTGTCTCTCTTCAACAATCGCATAGCTCATATGATCTATTAAAGGTGAAGCTTCAGAGCGATGCTTTTAATGCATCATTTCCCTTAGATGAAAATTATAATATGAATATAGCACAACATTATAGTAGAAATTTTAATTCTTATTTAGCTTTTGTTCACGTGCTAAACTATGAACCATATACCTCATTAGCATCATATTAGATGTTACCATGTTCAAATTGTACTTAAACTTTGATCAAACATTGTTCAAATTTTAATGGAACCACCCTCAAACCTCTTTTGAATATATTCAAATAACATTGCTCAAACATTTTTTAAACTTCAAACATAATTCAAGCAAAATGTTGATGAAAAGTTTGAATAAGTTTCATTCAAGTGTCAAGCATGGTTTTAGCACTATTTAAATATGATTGAGGAATAATTCAAGGATGGTTTGATTAAGATTTGACTAAGATATGAGCATGATTTTAATATGTTTTAAGCATGATTCAAATACTTTTGTTTGTCGTCATTGTCATCTTTTGAATTGATTTATTTAAGCAACTTTGCTATGTATATAGATGACTATTCTAAACATGTATATATAGAAGTGTTACATTTCTCAAGTCACATGTTGAGTTAGGGGTATAATGGATAAAAATATTAGGTAGTTTGAGGCATTTGATCTTTTGGAGAGGGCGGAGGAATCCCCTTTATGCAACTTTTCAAAGCTCTTTAGCTATAGCTCAATAAAGCCCTTATTCATCAACTACTATTGAGGATGGTAAACAATAAGGAGAATGAAGGATAATCTCTTGTGTTCAACATTTGAGAGAAGAGCACTAGATTTGGAGTAGTTGAATTTACACTCATCAACGAATAGGATTTTGGAGAATTTCATGTATGAATGATATTAATTAGATGAGCAGAGGTTATTTTACTAGGATGCTTACATTGGCTGGAGATGAGAAAGCATTTTTTAGATATACATGGGGTAGGCTGTCATGAGAGAGAACTTTAAAAGCATTAAATAAGAATATGATGCACCATAAAGCCATTGTTATGAAGAAGATTACCCTAGCCAAATACACAATCACTCGATATACCATAGTTTTGTAATATTAGGATTGTGAAGAAATCCCAAAATTAGAGAGAAAATGTAGATTACATTGGAGAGAGAAAAAAAAGGATCTTGAGGTTAAAGACCAAAAAAGTGTTTCGAGCAATGATTTTTTTGCCAAATTCAATAAATGAAATATATACATTACATGCAAAGTATTCTTTTTAAAATGTTAGTTTATGTTATTTTTTTATTATAAATTAATTTCAAGTTTATTTGAATTATTTTCTTAAAAAAAAATTTAATCTATATTGGTCAATAAAGTCAATGAAGATATTTTTTATAAATACATTGTTATATACACCATCTCAACATCTTCTAGTTAGAGGTGTGTAGAAAATGATGAACACCACATAATTTGCCAATTTGTATGACAATCACGTTGATGATAAGGAACAAGATGGACTAAAGAATAATCAATTGCTAGTCATTCTATGCACTACTCCAATCAATTTAAGTAACTTGTTGTAGTTGTTATGGAGTTGAATAATAACTAGTGTTGAATAATAATTAGTGACATTAGAGAATAATCAACTTAGGTTGATGCAGAAATAAGATGCACTAAGTAATTGTATCCATTATTTTTTATACCTTGAGAATGATAATTAAAGGTATAAATTATTCCGCAAAGATAGGTGAGGATAAAGAGGATTACAAGGAAGTTCTTATTATTAACTCACCCATTCACATCGAGTTTTAACAAAAAGAAGAGCATAGGGCTCCTTGTCACTAATTTGTTCATTCCTTGGGAGACTAAATATGATATATGTTGATCTTATTATTGTAATAAGGTTCACAAGGTTGTTGCAATTGTATACCTAGCCTATGCTCTATTCTCCTTAGTTTAATGGTATACCATATTAACCTCTAACTAATCCTACTATTATTCTTATTGGATACCTAGACTTATGGGACTTCAAGTTTATTTAGACCCCAATACAAAGTCATGATCCCATCACTTGTTTCAATGAACCCCAAGTGATGAACTGAGACTCATCTTAATATAGTGAGCCCTACAAAAGCCATTAGATAGAAACTCTCTAAAAATTAGTTTAACCTAAATCTAATTTAAATTAGCCTAGATGCAAATTAAAGTATCCTTTTTCTATAATCTAATTCTTAGAATAACCCAACTTAGACAACGATAGACCAAACACAAACCTTAAGCCTTCAAATTGCCTTTTGTTAGAACCTTTAAGTTCCAAGATGCCATAGAACTAAGACTATACTCTTACATTCTAGTAGCTTGGCTTAGTAATTAATTTAGCCATATGTTAATAGAAAGCTTATTCTATTAGTTTAAATGGGTGATGAACCCTTTTAGCCTTAATTCAGCTAACTTAAAGTCAAGCTTCATTTAATTTTAAGTCCCCTTAACTCCTTAGGTTCCTTGGGCTAATTGAACCCATTGAATTAAAATAAAATTAAGCCCAATACTATGAGCTCAATCTTAATTTAATGACCCTTTGGGGTCTAATTCGCCATATGAATAGGTAAAATAGTTAATTATCTAACACTATAAGGCCATAAATTGCCCGAGGATATTGTTACTATACTAAGCTTAGTGGTCAACCCAATGGAATCAAAACCCAATTAGTTTAAAACCAAACAAATGTTTAAAATCTAAACCTAGCTATTAGCATCTACAAAAAGGCCAAATTGATTAAACCCATGAGCCATTTGTTTTCCTCATTGATCCTATAAGTTTTTATGCCTAGGAATATACTTAGTTAACTCAGGTTAGAGACCTCAATCCAATTGAACATAAATTGAATAGCATCAAAACTTACTTAAAGCCTTAAGAATTTTAATAGATATTCAAATCCATAAGAATTCCAATTAATGTAGCCCTATGCTTAACTCAGTCCTAACTTAAACCTAGGTGTTTCTCTTTAGCTAATGAGTTTAAGAAAATGATTAAATTAGATTTAATATTACCCAAGTTAAATTAGGTTAACCTAATATAGCCATATTAGAATCTTTTGGGCATCTCTCACAAACCAAACCCAATTAAATTTAAATTAGGACAGACTAAACCTATCATATGTAAGAACTTGGTACTTGGGAAAATTTAACCAAGTGAAAACTCATGAATTGATTCAACTCGAGCATTTTTTTTAGTAATGACCAATCTAACTAGCATTTTCTCATTCTTAGCTCGTAAGATCTTAGCTAAGGCTTCCATGAACCAAACCATATTCTCCATATTAAGCTTAAACTAAATTGTATAGAGGTTTGATAAAGGTTAAGGGTTATCTCAACTTTTTAAGGATATTCTAGGGAGTGCTCCATCTATAGCCAGCAAATAGATCATACAAACCCACTCCACTACATTGCAAGACTTGTTTCTTTATGAAATTCCTTGGCTACTCATACATTAGAGGGAAGAAAACCAAACTTGTCTTATAAAGAACCCCTTTGCCATGAGTTTGATTATTTCCTCTCAAATCACAAACCTCCTTAAGCTTCCCCTCACTGCCCCTAGCAATCATAAAGGTTAGAATTAAAGTTGATTTCACAATATGAAAATGTCAATAAAATACTAGGCTCATTAAAGTAATGCCAGGGCTTGAATTCGGCATCAATTTTCTTTATCTCTACTAGATGAAGTTACTATACTAATAAACATAACAAGAAATAGTTAAGTAATTAACTAAAACCCAATATTAGCCATAGGCATGTTCATTCTTTATAAAGTTGATGGTTATAATGAGCTATGGAATTAGCAAATGATGGTGAACTACCTATGCTGATCTTCGCATTGCCTCTTAGAAGTGCTTTGTTCAACGACCTTAACTTGAGCAACAATTGAATTTATAAACTCATGATCTTTCAATAAGGGTACAACAACTTGCTCTTAAGTGTCATCATCAAAGTAAGGCTTTAGTCAATGTTTATTCACCTTAAAAAACCCCTTATATTCACGAAAACTTTCTATTTCCCCATAAGGGTTGACATTATTCACCACAAACTACTTTAATAATCTAAATCTATGCTTGCCAAAAAAATAGCATCAATCTTGAATTTTATAAAACTTTTGTCTTTACACAAATTCTCCTTTTAGAATGTGTTTGTTATGACATTATTTGTTACTTCTTTAAAAGGTTTAACATTTTAATATGAAGCATTTTGGAATCCATCCATCTCACTCAATTACAATAAACTTATATCCCTTATCACTTGTATATTAAAATTCAATTTATTGATTTCCTAAAATGCTTTTTGGTATAGTTCTGCTTCCTAATGACAAGTCTTCCAAAAAATTAAACAAAAAAGATACATGTGTATAGGTGTATTATAGGCAGTATGATATGCCCATAGTGCATCATGTACTTTTAGTGACAAATCTCTTATATTCTTCCCCATTATTTTCTCAAGAATCCATTTGAGCTCTTTATTGTAAATTTCAACATGGCCACTTATTGAAGCTTATAGTTGTTATACTCAGATGGCTCCAATCTCAATAGGTGATCAGTAATGATATTTTCTATCTCCTTTTTATTTGTAATATCT